CCCCCCCCCCCCCCCCCCTACTTCCCACTCCCCAAATTCCCCTGAGTCAATCCACACGAAAAAAAAAGAATCTCAAATGTGGCATTGCTATAAAAAGCATTCTTGTAAATGTCCATAACATAATCATTACTGTGAATTTATTTACTTCAATGTGACATAACCATTGCTTTGTTTCTTCTATCCTTTCTTGAATCTTTGATATGGATATTTGCATGTTTGACAGTATGTGTACCAAAAACATATTTATTGGTAAAAAAGAAAACACTTGTCTCTATTAGGAGGCGTCACGATCATACCTGCATTAATGCATCGAATCTCATTAGAACTCCTTAGTATTGTCTCTAGTTCTTTGGAAACAATCTCTTTATTCCCGAGTAGCGGTAAGGCCTTAGTACATACATCTTTCCCAGACCCTATTTTTTATGAAAATTTTATGGGGTTTGTTGTTTTTGTACAGTGGCTTCGTTAGGGCATACACATCAATGATACAAATCTCTATAAATCATTGCCTGAATGTGCAAATCTTTGTTGAAATTAGCTCACCTCAGTGATAATAGTGCAAAATGTGACAATAAAAGGAGCATGAAAGTAGTGCTTGCTTGCATTTGGGCTACTCCCTGACCTCCAACACGGACAAGCAAACTATATACTCTTCATGTGTATTGTAAAAAAAATTTTTAAAAAAACATTCTTTTATAAAATAACACCATTAAATCATGTAAATATGAAAGAACATTGTTAATGAAATTGAAATAACATTAAAATGTCACGTTAATATGTAAAACATCAATAATTCATGGTCATTTTATTATGATTATTAGTGTTTATATTTAAATGTTTTATCAATTATTTTTTTCTTACTTTGACCATTTTAAAAATATTGAAAGAAATCAAACTAAATTAAGTGTAAAACATGAATAAAATATTAAAATAGAATTTTTATATTTTTATCTTCAAAATAAGAGTACAATGCTAATATATAGTACTAAAAAAAGTAGTCGGTCACTCTACAATGTAATAATATCACATTATAAATTTTTATTTGAAAAATAATAATATTTTTACTTCTATTTGGAATGATTTCTTAATATTGAAAAGTAATACGGAGTAAAGGAATACTTAGACTTTAACGTGAGAAGATAACAAATTTTAGTACTTCTGTTCTATTTTAAGTTGTCTGTTGCTTACGATATTTGACTAGAATTATTTACAAATTAATTTTAATGAAAATTGGGGTAGAATTAAAGAAAGAAAGTTGTAAATTCCATAAAAAGTCATCAGTTATAGGTCATTTTACATATTTAGTTCATACATATCAAATATTACTACTTTAGTCCCCAATTATTATATCATTTTTCACGAAGGGAGGTGGTTTTGATTTTAGGTTTCACCAGAAAGACTAATAATTGAGAGAGAAATGATCATTTCAGTTTTGGGTTTAGATCTTCAAAGTCAGCGACGAGTTTGGAAAAGAGTACGAGAGGAGAGAGGAAGCTTAATTGAGGAGAGAGAGTATGAATATACAATTTAATCCA